AGTTGATCAAAAACTTTGTCATCTGAAATAAAGTCAAAACATTGGCATGGAAACTGCATTTTTTTCCTACTAAAAAAACTCTTGAGCTTGTAATAAAAGCAAATAGAAATCAATCTTTGTTTGTTTTTGTAATGTATTTCTCAATGATCATAAATCTGGGTTACTGGATTTGGTCAATGGAAGTGTTTTATCATGAGATGAAAGAAATTCATATCAGTTTTTACAATAGAAGCCACATTATTTGGGAACATGAATTTCACTTACACTGAAAATCCTCTTAATATTATCTTCTTCTTTAAATTGGCTCTTTTAAAAATTTCTGAAAATATTAATATATATAAAAAAGCTATCTAATAGAAGAGAACCTATTTATTAAGTTGGCTTGCAATCATTTCCAAGTCTCAAAGTGGAATATTTTCAGTTTTTATTATAGATTTAGATTCTTCTCGCATAAAATATTTTCAGGACTAAACACCCCTTAAGTTTGATGAATCTCACACACACATACACATGTGTGCACAAATAATTACTGATTGCTTACGTTTCTCACAAGAAGCAAAGACAAACCCAACCCTGGGACATTATGGTAAGCCTATTTTTAAGGAATGATAACCTTAATTTGAGATGTGATGGGATGTCTAGGTAGCAAAGTGCTTATTGGTGTAGAATGTAGAATCAACAAGTTTGAATTCCAGCAGAGTTTGTTGCTATCACTTCCCATTTATGCACTTAGGAAAGGTATGATAGCATTTTTTTTCCTCCTGGTTAAGGGTTAAATAGCAGTGTAGTGAGCCTTGGGTAGCAGCCAGTCTAAGATAAGGACTATTCTGAATTCCAAGCCATGGAGAAGGCAATAGAAACCAATTCTATTATCTTTTCTCATAAAGTCATTACAATTCAAGCAAGAAGGAAGTTCTGGAAAGCCATGATCATGAAGGGACATGGTATTTTTTGTTTTTAAAAGAAAAAAGGTTTTATTGCTGTCTCAACCTAAACAACAGTGAGATGCTAAAATGGATGCTGTGGTTGCTGAAGAGCCTTGCATATATTCTGCAAGACCCTGAGGCCAGGCCAGGATTAAATCTTTGCTACAGTTAAATTTTGACTCCTGCAATTTAATCAGTAATAATAATTGATTAGAGACAGTTTTCCAATTCTGATTGCAAAATGGTCAGCACATTCTGTCTGCTCCTGGAAGTATCTGACTCTAGCTCTGCTTTATCTTTATACAAGAGTTAAATACTGGAGTATTGCAGTCATATCTGGGTTGGAGCTGTTCAATCCTTGCTTTCAACATTTGATAGAGCTTAAAATCATTTATGTGCTCTGGTGGGGGTGGGGGGCATAACTTGTTTCCCTCTCTGCAACCTCTTTTGCAAAGACACAATGTTGCAAACATGTCGCTAACTCTGTTGCTATTTCAATAGCGTATTATGTTTAACTGAGTTCCATTATCGTGTCCCACTTGTTAAACCTTTGCAGCTAGAGCTTATCTTGCCACTTCTTCATTTACTCCATGTTCCAAATATACTCAGCAAACTGCCACATGGTTATTTCCCAGAATACTTTAATCTTGACCTCTTCAAAGGTCAATCATTATCTTTCTTTCTTATCCTCAATATTTTCATTTATTATCACATTCTATTCTATTCATATTGTACATACTCTTTTGGGTGTCAAACAAGTACATTGATTATCTCCTCAAAAATATAGCTATAGATAGGGCTTATTATTAACATTACCATTTGAAAGAAAATTGATTAAACATTTGATTATCAAAGAATAAACCTTATAAAAACATTGAAAAACAAAATATCTTATTGATGATTTGTTTTTAATCCCAAAATAAGTCAATAGTTTATCAGCTTCTAAATTTTTAATGTTTATTTTTTGTTTTGGTTTTGATATTTTTTCATCTTAAAATGTCATTGAAACATAAACCTCAATTCTATTCTTAAATTTTACTTGAAAATTTATTATTTCTTAGTGTTTTACTGATATGTAATAAATAGAGTAGCTATTAACAAAGTCTGTGTGCGTGTATGTATTTTTTTTATATATTTTTTTTGTGACCACAAAACTCACAATTAATTTGTAAAAAAAAAAAAAAAAAAGAAAATAACTTTTTAATAAAATGGAATTTAAAATTCTTTTCTAAACAATGTTCTTTACCTAAATAAAATGCTAATGGAATCTAATGGGGAAAAGTGGGATTGTTCTGCAAGAAAAACAATTTATAAAACCTGAACTTTCTCAAGGAACCAAGAATTTTTTAAACTCTACAAAAAATAAATAAGAAAGAGATTGATCACAAATTGTTTTATGATATTGCAAAATGAAAGAAATGATTTTTTATAAATAAAGTGTTGAAAATTTCCAATTCTGCCAGATAAATACCAAGTGTTTCTGGCATTTTTGAGAAGACATTCTAAAATATTTCTAATAAATCAGAAAATTGATAATTAAGAAAAAATTTCCTTTGTGACAAAATAGGTAAGGATGTCTGATTTCATTGATATTTCTCTGATCCAACTTGGAAATGTTTGATAAAAATAACAAACTTGCTGATTGATTTGCATAATCAAAAATTTTTATATCTTATTTTTGATAAGTTGTCTTTTTTTTCTTCATGTCTTCACCATACAGTCTCTATAAAACAGTCCCTAACATGCAATAGATTTTCTTTTACTATAATTTTTCTGACCTTATTTCCAAAGCCTATATTATTTTCCCAGCCATTGTATTAATAAAGCAGTAAAAGAAGTATTCCCTTTACTGTTTTTTTTTTGTTTTTTTTTCAAGGGGATTTCTCTGAAGATGAACCTTTTTTGGAATGACAAGAACAGAAGACAAAAGCTCTGAATGTGTCAGCGATTATGCAATTGTCTCCACTCAGTAAACAAGCCATGGATCTGTTGTCAGAACGACTGGCAGCAGCTGAAGAGGACACCCAATACCTGGCCCAGCAACTGTCTCTAATGGCAACCAATCCAAACTTGACAGTAGAGAGTCTTGACACAACCAGTCAAGCCTCTCCTCCTCCTTGTGTCATATCCCCATTTGAAGCAAAAAGTTTGAAAAATCCAGATTCACTCACCTCCCGTCTTTGTAAAGCTGAAAGTGCAGTGACCACTCTAAAATTGGCTTTGACTACATTGCAGAATGATGAAGATCGATGGAGACATATGGCAGATGCAGAACAGGACAATCAAACTTTGGACGTGAAGAAACAGCACAAAGAAGAAATGGACAAACTGCGTGATGAAGTAATTTGTTTACAACAGGAATTACTTTTGGAAAGAGAAGCCAAAGCTCGGAGCCGTTCACAAGTCCAAAATCTTCAGGATGCTTTGATGGAAACTACACAAATCAGGGTAAAGAATGTTTGATTGTTTTTGAAAAAATTCTTTTAACATTTATTTATCTGAGGAAAAAACGATTTTTGAGCATTTTTCATAATGAATGCCTCCGAAAACAGCAAAGAAAACAATCATCAAAAATCTTTTTTATAATCAATATAGGATTGCATATTTAGACATTCAATTCTGTTGGTTATCTTTACAAAATCTAGAAATGTCAGTATTGAACCACTTCTGCCTGATAACTTCCTTCCAGAATTGATTTGCATTTCTAAACTTTCTTCCAACCATTTTATGCTTAAGTCCATAGATTCAGTTTGGGATTTAGATTTGGACTCTGACCTGGCCAGTACATAATTTTATTATCTTGTCTTTTAACCACATTTTATTTATAGAAAGGTATATTATCTAATTGAAAAATATGATTGCTGCACTTGGGGAAAAAAACTTTTGGATACTGAAAAGTAATCCTTTCTGTAATTAGTACTCTTTTGCATTTAGATATTTGATCACATCACATCAAGTTCACCAACACCAGTGGCTGATACTGCAACTCAAAAAACTCCATGATGCTTCACAGTTCTTGACATGTAATCAAGATTGAATCATTTACTAGATCAGCAAAGCAAAAAGGGTTGTCTGTCTACTGCCACAAATGGGATTGACTCATCTTACAATAGTGTGTTTTTTCTTCAACATTAACACATATACTTGATAATGAACAAGTTCCTTATTTGACAATAGAGGTTGTCAAGGATTGAAGTTTAATGCAGATATTAAAAAAAAAATGTTTAAATTTTTTTTGTTTTTACAATGATGTTCACCCTATACGGACCCAAAAGCCACTTGAGGTAGAGCGTTACTGAGTAAGTGGTACAATTTATGGGGATATGTGAGAAAGATAATGGTTAACCCTAGACTTAAACAGGTTAAGACTGTAGTGAACAGGAAAGTATCCTCTTGGGGGTTGGTTCCACAAAACAACAGTTCATGAGAAGAAGCTGCTCAAGTGGAAATTACATTTCACCAATGGCATACAAAGGGAATGAGGGTGGTTTGCTACAATCTCTTTTGAGATGTATTTGTTATCAAGTGCCTCACTGAGTCTGAGATATTCCCAAACAATAACAAAGATAATAACTTGTCTATGACAAGGGAAATAACTCAAATATAAACATAGCTTCCAAAGTGTCAGACTTTTTTTTATCTAAAAGTCTCTGTCATATTTTCTTTTCTTGAACATCAATAAAAGAATTTATTTTTCAGTTAAGATTTCCAAGTACTTCTAATAATTTAAGCATAGAAGCTCTACTTTTTGTTCATTTACCAACTGCAGTTTACCAGGGTTTATAGCCAGGTCATGTCAAAACACCAGTTCCTGTATAATTACTGAAGTTAAGCAATGTCAAGCCTGGTCAGTAGTTAAATGGATGACCACTTGGGAATACCTGATTCTGTAAGCTTGAATGTTCTCTAAATGAAAATGGTTTCAGTTGAAATTCCTTGAAGGTCTTCTGAATCAATAGACACCTGAAGAAGGTCAGAATGCACAACAGCTGAAACTTTGTGATAATAACAACAAAGATGAGAACATTAGTCCAAATGTAAAAAATGTAAATTAGAGATTGTGAATTAGGCTTACAGCCACATCACATTGAAACACCAGTTCCCATATGATCACTAAAGTTAAGCAACATCAAGCCTGGTCAGTACCTAGATCAGTGACCACTTGGGAATACTGGGTGTGGTAAGCCTGGATATGCAAGTGGTATAATGGATAATGGCTTGGAATTGTTAATTGGGGTGCTAAGTTTCAATTCCAGTTAAGTTTGTTACATTTACTTATGCACAAATCCCCTTGAGAAAAGGCATAAATCCACCTCTTCTCCCCTCCCATCTATGGGTTAATTAGTAAGACTTGTCTCACTAAATCATTATTATCTCTAAAAAATATCTTACACTCTAAAAATATTTTCTGGCTTTAAATGACCTGCAATGGTTTGGTAAGCTATGCAAAACAAAGCAATCAATCAAAAGATTCTGACCACCTTCTCTATCACCATTTATCTTGATCTTGCTCTATCCACTTCTTGGTCACTAATAATGCTTGACATTTCTAAAATGCTAGTTACTGTTGCATTATCCATGAAGTGAAATTCAGTCTAAATATTTCTTCTATCAAAGAAGAGACTAAGAATCTAGTATCTGCTGCCTCACTTGATGCTAATGTTTCAGATGTCAATAAACATTTTTGTTGCTTTGTCCAACCTTTTAGATTGCCAGCTGATTGGTGCCTCCTTCTTGTTCTCATCTTGAACAAAAACAATAATGCCACTCTCAGATGACCCATCTTCCATGCTTTCATCAGAATATTCAAGGGTGATCCAAATTATGAATTTTTAGAGAAGTTTTCTTGGATTTCTATTTAAAGATTTCTTTGTTTGCTTCATATAATATTTTTACAATTGGATGATTTTCTGTATTGCTCATAACCCTAACTCTATCTTTCATATTTTATATCTGGCTTTGTTTGTATCTTCTGCATTCAATTCATTGGTTTTACTTTCCACACAACTTTCAGCTCTGCTCATCGCAGATAGTTGGAATATACAAAACTTAATTAATTTGCACTGCTTTCGTTTGTAAAACTTCTAACTCCGGAGACATTTTCATGCATGATTATCTCGAATGTTTTCTTTGTTTTTCCTATAATTTGTTCTTGGAAAAAAAGCAAAGTCATCCACATAATGAACCAAAATTCCTATAAATCATCTACACTTACAATGTCATGTAAGTCATAAGTCATTATCATGTGAACAAACTGTAAAGTATAAAAGTAGTTTTTGACTTATAGTAATATCTAGGCCAATCATTTCTTCTATAAATACATTTTTTAGATGTCAGATTTTGATTTTTTTAATGCATATAACAAGGTGGACATAGGTCTTAATTTTATTTTCATGATATTTATATATCTGATATATTTTAATGAGATGATACGGTAATTTGACTTTCAAAAGGAATTATTTCAAAAACATCATTACTGATCAAACTCTTCAGTTCTTTCTCTCTTTAGCATCTACCACATCTTGAGATGTTTCTTGATGAGCTGTTAACATTCCAGAATTTTCTGGATAAGGCAGTTCATTCCATTCTTAATCATTATTCCAATTCATACAAACTGGTTCTTCTTCTCCTCCAAAGTAAACATTTAGCCAGTCAAAAATTCTGCTTTGTTTTTGGTTGTGTACTGATATTGAAATAACACTTGCTTTGTTTACCTATGAGCACATATGTCCTTCTACTTCTGAGGAAGAGCATTCAAGTAGAAAACCTTGGATTACATGCATCACAAAAATGACATCACCAATAAGATATTTATGACAAATGGATGAACCTGACTTTGTTGAAACATGGTTACAATGTTTTACAGCCAATACTAAATCAAAGAAACTAAAAGACAACAAAACAGGTGAAGGTGAAAACGATGTCTTCAATTTATTTTTAGCATCAGCAAAGTGCAAAGCAATTATGAAAATCTCATTAATGATATATTCAAAAAAATTGGAAAACTTTACCATCGAAGAAATTAGTGAGATAATCAAGAAAAATATGAGACTGAAGAAGAGATTGGTTGTTGCAGAGTGAATTAATTTCATGTCTTTACAACAAGAGGCAGAGAAACCAATTATAAAATTTTTACATCTGCTAAGAAATGCTAGCAGATACCATGAATTCAAAAAACTTGATAAAGTCAAAATGTCTATAGAAAAAGAATTAATCTAATTAAGAATAACTGAGGAGTGTGTACATAGATATGAAATGTTGGAACAATTGCAACTGAGTAAAACATCACAGAATTCATGTGTTGACTTAATACAACAAGAATTGATAAAAAGTAAAAGAAAAAATTGACACATGTTGAAAAAATTGACAAGTGTACACAACAATGTTCATTGTGGAATCACAGTCAGACAGAAATGGTTAAAATTAGTAGCATGGTAACATATCACCCCTTAATGGAATTCTCACATATACGAAGATGCAAACTAGGGTCTTAATGTTGTCATTGAAAACTATGTCCACAAATGTCTAAAATGTGCAGAAATGAAGAATTTTCAGCAGTATAAATTGCACATTTTAGGGGTCCAAAAAAAACAGATAAAACCCCAGAATTTTTGAATGATAGTCTGTGTTCTTGGTTAAGAAAAGTTGGTTGCATTCTATATAAAACTCGTCCATAATATCTGCCAACAAATGGAACTGGAATGTAGAGAGAATAACACAGACTATAAAAAATGGATTGAAAGCATTTTCTACTCACCAGGATAATATTAACAGTTATCTACCAAGACTATTTCTTAGTTATCAAACTATACCACATGCTGGCAGATTACAAAGTCTATCTGCATCAACAGGAAGACAGAGCCTTGTTAACAATGTCTTATTCCATTAAACCCTTCAGCTTGTTCCTAATCAAAGGATTTCTTGTCAGTTTAGAAATTCAATTATTTACACTCTTGAGTAGAGTTTTCACAGTTGACTCCTTTTTCAAAGAATCAGTTTCACTTGGCCTAGAATTTTCATGATTATCATCTTCATTCATAGGTGGAGTTCCTTATCTATGGTCTTATTCTTAATTTTTTTGTTTCTCTCTTTCTTCTAAGTCTAGCATATCTTACTATTATCTTTTATTTTCATCACCTAGCATGGAGGAACACTCTTCCAAGGTACACCAACACAAATTTTCCATCTTTTCCAGGGTCTTTGCAGCCTTTCAAATTTAAACAAATTTTTTTTAATAAGCTTCATTATTACATACCACATTTGCATAAATGCACACGTTATGCCCAAGGTCTCCCCCTCTTCATCTTTTTGTTTGATTTTGTAGCATTTTTATCTGGCATTGTTTAAAATTTTCATATCCTGGTATAAAATGTCAAATCTCCATGACTAGAAATTTATTGTCTAAAATTGAAGTAAGTTTATGGTTAAAACCAAATATGAATTGATTTGGACTAAAACTGGAATTATTTTTTAATATAAGTGCCACTTTGGGTTAACACATTTCTCATCTGATAAAGTCTTGTAAAATTCTTCCACCAATGTCTGATTATGCCATTCGACAATTCCATTACTGAATGATGATTCATCTGCTGTCATTAGTGTTTTACATTTAGTTTTTCATTTATTTCCTCATATTTATCATTAAAAATTATCATTTCAGAACTTAAGAACTTCTACCATAAAAAGTAAATGATTCACACAATTTCATCTGGGTGCTTAGTAAAAATCAAGCTTTAGAACATTTTTCACCTGATTCATGTGTAAAATCCAAGATGAATTATATGCACAATTCTTTAAGTCCAGGCACACAATTTGATTAAATTTATTAGTCAACGGCATACCGACAACTGGTTGTAAAATGGATATTTATACATTGTGTACACACTGCAAAAATCTCAACACTTTTCAGGTATCCTCACAAATTCATTATCACAAAAATCTTTCTTTCTTCAGCAAATCTGAACAACTTTTCTCGATGACCTGAGAAAATATTCTCTGAAACTTCATTGCCCTTATCTTTTTTTTCTTCTTTAGAGATTTTATAAGATGTTTGTCACAGCACAGAAATGCTTAAATCATTGCGATTATTAAATAAGATATTTGTGACAGGAGAACAGCATTGACCTGATGCCATACAAACTAAATCCATTGTATCATCCAGAGCACAATGAGCTCTATCATTTGCAAAATTTAAAAAACATCAGCTTTCTTCATAGATATCTTGCTCAAGAGAAGTGTAACATAATTATTTACTACATAAAACTTAAATAGAAACTTTTTCTGTTTCAATAATTGATGAAAATTTTACTTTCCTATTTACAGTAACTTCTGCTCCATTTTCAAACTTGAATATTTTGTTAGCTGGAATATCTTCAACTAGAAATCTTTCTTGATTAGTTAATGTGTCTCAAAAAATCATCTAACTATGTGTGTGCATCCCAAATGAGTGCTGCCTCATGTGTGCATCCTGAATCTGTGCTGAATTGTGTGTGCATCCCAAATGGGTGCTGCCTCATATGTGCATCTAAAATGGGTGCTGCCTCGTAAGTGCATCCCAAATGGGTGCTGCCTCATAAGTGCATCCTAAATGTGTGCTGACTTATATGTGCATCTAAAATGGGTGATGCCTACTGTGTGCATCCTCATGTGTGCATCCCAAATGTGTGCTGCCTTATGTGTGCATTCCAAATGTGTCATGTTGCATGTGTGGATCTCAAATGTGTGCTGCTTTGTCTGTTCATTCAGAATAGTTGCTGTCTCGTGTGCATTCCAAATAGGTGGTGCCTCGTGCATGCATCCCAAATGGGTATAGCCTCCTGTGTGCATCCCAAATTGGTGCGGCCTTGTGCATGCATCCCAAACGTGTGCTGCCTTGTATGTGCATCTAAAATGGGTGCTGCCTCCTGTGTGCATCCCAATTGGTTGCTACTTGTTGTGTGCATTCCAAATGGTTGCTGGACTCCTGTGTGCATCCTAAATGGGTTCTGCCTCATGAGTGCATTCCAAATGGGTTCTGCCTTCTGTGTGCATCTCAAATGTATGCTGCTTCTTGTGTGCATCCCAAATGGGTGCTGCCTCATGTGTGCATTCCAAATGGGTACTGCCTTGTGTGTACATTCCAAATTGGTGCTGCCTCATCTGTGCATCCCAAATGGGTTCTGCCTCCTATGTGCATTCCAAATGGG